AGATATATATATATATATATATATATATATATATATAAACTTCATAAAATTCCATTAGAGTTTGCGTTCGTTTATGCTGGATCCTTTCAGAGCAGTAGATAACACCCTAAACTGCTATTCTGACACCTTACTTTACAAGTTCTTCCAGGGTGTATGGTCATTCGCTGGCGGTTCTAGTCTTGGAATGTTGTGAAAATGGTGGTAAGGCTGTAAAGTTCGCAGTTTTCCTAACATCCGAGGTGAAATCGGCACTTTGTTATGATGCGTAGTCGTGAGTAGGTAATTGTTGCGCACGCGCGAGTTTATACACATTCCTTACAATGAATGCATATCCTTCAATTACGGTTGTTTGCACGTGTGTGCAGGCTTACTCACTATGTAGTTCACTCGTATTTCACAGATCGGGGTAAAACAATGACGTTGTGCAAGGCTGATAACCTTTTCAACAGATAAACTTCAAGGCGTTTCACAGATTTTGTACAAGACATTTATTCATACCATTTATTCCTGCAAAGTGTCTTTAGATACCCTATGTGTTGGCCATAAGTTATTTGATTTAGGGAAACGATATTTTTGTTTTAGCCACCTGACACCCACAGTGATGTTCACTGCGGACTTTGATCTGTTCCAACATCTAACATAACACTGGAGATTAATCTTACCTCATATGTTGTTTCCTTATTCTGAGTAGTTCTAGTAATATGTGACACCATTCAAAGACCGTATTGCTCGAGTTCCTGACATTTCGAGTTTAATGTGGTCCGGAGCTCTAAGCGCAGCTGACTAAAATCAAATATGACAAACCTGGTTTCTTCCTTGCTTTTATAGTTGAAAGTTGAAATTCCGGCAAAATTGGTGTTATCTTTGCTCCTTTTGTACGGAAACAGAATCCTGCACACGTTACCTTCGCTTGACCTGATAGAACTCATGATACAATTGCTCGAACCTCTGTAGTGATGGAACGGGACCAAATTGTACTAGCTTTTGATACATTTGTATACGAACCTCAAGAAGAGCTTGCCCAGCTCCGATGGCCATTGTGCGTGTTTGAATTTTCTTTTCAATCTGCCTTCCAGTATAATCCATGTCTTTCAGTTTAACTCATTCCACTCACACAAGTACACCAACGCGCATCAATGGATAAGTTCCGGGTTGGAAAGAATCAACTGTTTGCTCACAGTTTTAAAAGAATTGCGTTCATAAATGTGGCCATAATAGCACCACAAAATTCAGAAAAATTAGTCTCAAAAACTTTGGAGATCAATAATTTATTGTATCGTATGTGCTTGATGTAACAATCGTTGTGGTTTGCAGAATGATAGAGGCTGATGAATAAACTAGTTACAATAAAGTTTAAAATACCTTGTTTTGCATCTGACTGCCTCCGAACTAGATGTGATATTTGCTTTTGACGTATCTGTTCTTATTCTGAACTGACATTTCTTTATTTCGCCTGCCTTGTTGATATCGCTCCACTTACCGTGGGTCTCGCTTCTGAGTTTATATGGGTGGAATTACCTCAGCAAAACCTAAGTATATTTTTAACACATTGGATGCAATTCGTAATGATAACTAAAAACATACAGGCTATTTTTTCGTAAAAATCGAAATTTTTATATTTAAAAATCGTTTACTAACGACGCATATCTGCACGTTAGACAGGACAAATCGGGCAGCATTCTTTGCGCACTGTTTTCTTAAAGTAAACGTAATATTTATGTTCAAACTGATGAAAGAAATTTTGCAGGTGAAATTCATTCCAAGGCAACGTCGAATGAACTCCAACCACCTCATGGAGGTTTCCAAGGCCCAGGGTATCCTGTCGTATGAAAATGCGTTACTGACCTCCAGAATAGAGTTGTTGAGAATTTTCTGGCTACTGTTCAATTGTTTCAATCTACGATGGCAGTTGATAGACAGTTAATACTACGTTCAAACTGCCGTACCATTTTCGTTTCACAAAATTCTGCGACGAGCTACTCTACTCGCCAGACTCACTAAAAGAATAAACCAACTACCAATGTGTATTAATGTTCACCTCGTTTGAATAGTCCTGCTTCTTTCATAGTGCAATGATTCCAGGAATTCCACACCAAAGTGGGTACGCATTGGGCTCGGTTTTCCCTCTTACCGGTGGGTTTAACTATTGGCCGTGTCAAGATTGTAACTTTGGATTCTTGACAATTGTGGAAACCGTGTCAGTAATATCAATGCCACATTAGTTGTTGCTTCTGAAAGGACGACAGTTTTCACCCGTAGCCACCGCTTAACCCAACAGGACGACAATGGGCCCTGACAACTGTGATCTCTAGAGTGATAGTGCTACTACAGGGGACCGTACAAGCGATAGCGAAGGGAAATTCTACAAATCCCGAACCCACTTACGCAACTTTGCGGGTGTTTAGGGGTCTTGAAGAATTTACGCTCACATCATTGTTGTTTGAACAGTCGCTCTTTTGTCCTGGTACAGTTATTCTAGTGAGTCCAAACTATGATGAAAATCACTGCACTCGGCTTTCGATCTTATTAGAGATCATCAAGATTTAGACTACGAAGATCTGATGTTTGAGGCGACCGTTTGCCACTAGTCCACTACGATCCTCTGGATACATTTGAACATCCTCTCCTGAACAGGCAAGTGTATTCATACTTGAGTGTCTAGAACGCTGACTCAGTAATTGTACTGGTTGTGTCAATCGGCTGACTCGCCTATCAGGATATCTCAGTCAAGTAGCCCGACAGAAACCTGAAGCTTGCTGGAAAATTTCGATAAGTTACAACTGATCAACGTCCATAAACTTTCTATAGTATGTTATTCCATTTAACCGAACAGTTCTGCAAGGAAAGTCACACAGCTGATACAGAGCGAAGCGATCGAAAATTTAATTAAGCAAAGGGGACAGCTACAGACGACAGTTACTTGATCGTTGTGCTCTCCAAGCATATCAGTCAAGTGGAAACAGATTCGGCTGTTCAAACGTAACTACTGAGCTGTCCAGCTTGCGCTGATGTATTTTATTTCGTTCACTTCACACATCGGATGTCGGCGGTTTAATGTCGGACACGGCTAAGGACATCTACTCTTGATGAATTCTGTAGTGTAACCGCCGAGAATAACTGCCTGGTGACAACAGAGCAGCTGTTCAGTTAACAGTCGAAATCCTACTTTTCCTACAACCACTTGCATTTACCGGTGTAGTCAGATAGACCAGGAGGTGAATGAGATCGCTTGTTGTTGGGAAACAGATTGGATTTCGCACTAGTTAAAATAACATAACAGGGGAAAGAGTACTTTGCGTTGAGTCTTGATTGCAAATCCTTCTTCTGTAGGATGCCAAACGAAGATATAAAATCCCAGTAATTAGGAGCTCCGAATATTGCACCGTCAAAGCAGAGAGCTCTGAATACCTTATATGAGGTCAACAACGTCATCAGTAAGAAGGCTCAAAAAACCTCGCTAACGCAAAACAGCAATAGATTATCAATGGCATCGCTGCGTTACTAATGCCAGTTAGGCTGAAGTTGCTAATGAATTCGGATCTGTAGTGAGTCGAATTGGGTGAGTTGCATCGGTTGTATTCAAAAGGCAAAAATCCAACAACCAGTTTATGGAGTGTTCAATAGCCATAAAGTGAGTGTTCACATAAAACCAATAATGGTTGGAATGGGTTGCCTACCAGCTGAGTTAACAATGTTTTCAATTAACTGGTATTCTGAAAACGCTTCTTGGGGAGATCAGTCACACAGGCAGTGTGTTTCCACGAACTTACTAGCAAAGTCGTAGATTTACCTATCGAGACACACGTAGTTGATTTCAGTTCTGAGGTGTCTTCAACTCACAGTAGTTTAATCAGGGTTTTTTTCCTTCGAGTGAAACCGACACAATTCATCCTCATTGGAAACAACCATCCGTGTACATCTCAAAGGTCTCCAAGGAAATTCGATCCGGCGAGCAGTTTAATACCTTTCGTTCACGAGCTCCTGATCAGCAGTAATATAAGCTCGCATCTAGACAGGATGTGGCATCAGTCACCCTCCGATCACGTGACCACATCAAATGATTGTTACTGGCAGGCAAGATGGTGAGAGTGAAGATTAGGAAAAGAAAGTTGTGACTGAATCATTTCTTTTTTTGTTCATGTATTTGCTATCAAGAACTGATATTCCTGGTTTTAGCCAATATTATGACGAAAAGTTTGACACAAGGTTGAAGTATGCTGTGGTTGCTCTCCAGTTCGTTCTGGCGTTATTTAGATGATACTGTGGTTTAGTTGATGAAAATGCCAGAAAAATGGTCTGATAACATCCAGTGATGATTTAAGACACTACTATTGAATTGCAGAAAATACATTTTGCCTAGCTAACAAGAAATCTAACTTGGATCAGTTGCTAGACAGTTTCATTCGCGCCGCTGAAAATGGGAGGCTTCCTTTCGTGGAGGCCCACTTGTAGGTGACTATCAGACTTGATCCACACAAAGCACAGTATAGGGGGAGAAGACTTGAAGCAAACGTTACGGTAGTTTCCATAAGTTTGTTCTGATGGCTGAAAACACTAACTTCATGAGGAGCCCAGCTTCGAGAAATCGGAAGGTCTACTAAAGTGATACGTCTCAAAAAAAGACGGTAATCTAGAAAGATTCATTGAAGCACATCCGCGAAATCGAAACTGTTAACAGCAATTAACAAAGGCCAGTATCCTTGTTCGCCTTTTGTAGAAGGATACTCAGATCTCAGGTAAAGAAAATGAATACCAGGAGAAAAATGCCGCCAATACCGTTCAAGTATTTTTCCTTCGAAATTCACCTTTATTTCGAATGGCGGCGACAAGATGCTGGTCTTCACCTCATCCGTACTAATTCAGTGATTTGTTTGCGTCTCTGACGTTTCCTATTTCGGTCGATCGACATGTCAGCTTTCCCTCATCCCTCATCACTGACCCAGGCAGCTTAGAGGAACCACCTGATTGACACGGATCACACGACAGATGCCGGCAAAGCTTTCAGCGTTGCGCTTGGAATCGCGTCTCAAATCCCCAGAACTGTACTGAAAATAACTCAGTTAGAATGAGAGTGGATTAGAATGAGAACATCCTGTCTGCGCAAATAGATTAGCCCCGATAGAATATTCCGGCCGTTGTTAGAACAGATCCTGTGAGGTGTCAGGTTGCATTCGACCACCAGGTTTGTGCCTTTCTTACTTAACACCAGAATGGGCCCAAATGACATTTCTTGCTACTTTGTCTCAGCAAATATTGTAATTTTTATACACGATCATAATGCGCAGAGGCCAGTTGATGATCTGCTGAATAACAATGCTTAATTTCTGTTGTCTTCAAACTTGAGCGNTTATTAACTCTTTCATTTTGAAAACGTAATCAGATTCGTGCACACTTGCTGTTTACATGACACAAAAATAATGGTAATTCCAAATCTGGCATTCATTAGAAACTTGCGACAGCTACTACATCCGATTTCATCATACGCGAGCTAGTTCCTAATCACTTAAGATCCTGCCATAGCAATGGTCGACCCAACAACAGCACACATTAAGATCAAGAACGGATGTCAGGAAATTCTTTGCTCACTGAATGATAACTAGAAAAGTTACTGGTCTCCGAATCAAGACCTAGTAAGATGCGAATCGGCAGATAGATCATTCCGTACAAAATTGGAATATTTGAAGTTACTCAAAGGGTGCTTAATGCAGCCAACATTAGAATGGTTTTTCATTCTGAAACGTCAAGGAACGTAACAAAGTAAAGGCCGGCATTAATATCTTTGAAGGACTGCCTGGTGATTGAATGGACAAGAATCCTCGTACATAAAGTTAGATACAAAGACTCCACAAAGGCCTAAATAAGGCAGATGGGCTAAAAACTGCATATCTTATTTGCCTGAGCATAAGGAAATCAAGAAAAAACTGATAAAAAATACAGACGAACGCGAGGTTTTTCTTAGAGTTTCAACCATGACAGAACAAGCAAAAGAAGCGAAAGATGGAAGAAATTCGGCAGCGATGGGAGTTTTGGGGAAAAACTATGACCCGTATCACAAAAACTGATGAACCGAGCACTGGGAAACGGCAAACCTGGAAGTCCGTGGAGTCATCACCAAAATAGTTCAGCCCTAGAGTAGATGAAATACATTTTGGTCACCCCTTTTCCTTTACACGATTATCGAAGCACTGACTCATCCACATAGACCTACTGGGCGGGAGTCTTATGGTGAAATTTTCTGGGCCTGGAGAAGCAGACCCCAAACCCAACACACACTCCTGCAAGAGTTCCTTCAGCTCAACCGAGAAAAAACCTGACCCGTGTCTAGTATCCCATTTGTGATTGATCATGCTGACGTGAGGAAACACGTAACAAGTTTGAACGAAAAAATCATATCGAAATCATACGATTACAGCATTGAACATTCAAAGTAGTTACTGATCAGTCCATTTACAGAGCATCTCTCGTTAGTGGATTTCCTTCACGATGGACAGCGTGGCACAGATGACTCCGACACTGCGTCAGTCGTGCAAAGCTGTCGCCTCAACCTAACAAGTTTGCGGACTACAAATGGGGAGAGGGTGGAAACGTGTGATGCAATGTTTGCAGTACGTATTTTCACATTTTTTGTATATCCTTCCATCTCTAGATTTCAGTGAGGAGTTTCTGTGGTGTTAGATTATTATTGCGGAGCATGACAAGGCAAAGTTATACGAAGAATGTCATAGTTTTCCGTGACACATCACACTGGCAACAGTGTTTCACTGAGTGACGTCGAATGACTGCGGCAAATTAACAATACCGTGAATAAGATAATCAGAAGCCTTTTTCATCGCACATGAATCCCAAAACCTGTCTCCCAGCTTTAACACTCGTTTGATTGTGAAGTAAAGTTTCAGGTGGGCATCATTTCTCTATTCGTTCAATTTATAGCTGCAGCAACCGTGGAACGTCAAACCCCCGTTTCGGTTCTCAACAATACCAAGTGGCGCTACGGAGGAGAATATTAAGATCAACTTTCCTGAAATGGGTGCATATATGCGAAACTTCAATCGGTCTACGGTGGAGGAAGGCCTGGCTTCGCTCAAGTCTGGGTGAGATCCGATTAAATTGAGAACTAGATTTCTGGTGATCAGATGATCGACTCAAAATATGGCATAGTTGTATTTTGGTTCAAGATTATACTATCATTTGTATCGTATGAAACTCTAAATAGTACTCAAGAATTGGGTGTTGTCGACCCGGACAATTTGAGTGATTGGGCTTCACAGGGAAATATAGTTGGAAAAGTTAGCAGCCTGAAAGCACCACTAGTACTCTCAGCTGGCCCATCTTCAGTGTTACTGGTATGGTTCCATATTCATATATACATGAATATACACATATATGTTCTGATGGGAGAATTATTAAAAAACCAGTCTACAAGTCTAATGGGTTCAATTCTGGGAAGCACTCAGTTTTTCAAACAGCAAACAATAAACCCTTCGAACTACACTGCGTCCTTCTGGAAGTGAATGACACTACATCCTATATATTTTTAATGTACTACTCATAAGGTTGCTGAAAATCCATCGACAGCTGTCGATGGATTTTCGGCAACCTAATGAGTAGTACATTACAAATATACATGTATCGCGATATTTCAAATGTCTTAGCGACTGGAACATGAGGCGGCCTGGTGAAGCACATTCAGTTGCCTGAGAACATCATAAACGAGAGATTCGGCTGGGTTCCAGGTGAGTCTCTCGAAAGAACCAAATGAGTGTATAGATACTACATCCTATTTAATTGCAAGCTGATCGTTTGATAATATTTCGACACTAACTGATTAATGGTGCTTTAAAATCCCCATTCGGACGAGATGAGATTTTACATTCTTGCTTTTGACATACAACAAGGGTGAAGTAAGAGAGGTCCCAAGTTTTCAACTTCGTCTCTCTTTGCAAGCAGGAGAAAAGGTTGGGACAAAAACACGCAGGACTGATACACTCGTCGGTCGTACCAAGACAGAATTCAGAACTCCGTCCAAGATTTTGGTCAGTTTGAATTTTGTATCTCGATGTCTATCGGTTTTCATCGTTCAGAAAGCCGTAAATGACATCCGCAGGTGTTCAGCTGGAGCGTTCTGATCCAGATGATTCGAACAAGAAAGTGCGACCAAACTTCTTAAAGCTAGCCGAACTTCTTGGGTTTTCCGTCCTCTTGAAGGTCATGTAGATAAAAATGGAGGTATCACTGAATAATACCGTGAAAATATCTGAGCTAGACGTAAACCGAAACAACATTTCAACCGTTACGTTCGATAATCCGAGTTCATCCCTTGTGACCATTGCTTCCTATGAAGTTTATACCTACGTTTCTGTTAGGCTGTCGGAATGCATGTGTTGACGCACCAGCTTTTCTCACTGGTACTGCTGTTTTTAGGTGATCATCTAGTACTGTTTGGAAATTCTCATTGGAATCAACCTCCAATACCCACAAAATGGCTCGTTGGTGTGGCACAGAAAATGCGTATTAATCCTGATATGGTGATTCGAGCACCCTCCCTTTTTTTATCATTATGTGTATGGATAGAATCTTTGGAATTACTTGGGCATCCAGTAGACATTTTAAGCTGTAGATAGTCATGCAAAGTTGGTGCTCGTGTTTATTGGATTCTATCACTCCTAGTTATATGCGAAGCAGGAAAATGACCGATTTCTCGAGCCAGTTGTTCATATTTCACACGAGTGGGGTATAACAAACCGTCGTTACGGTTGCATTCATGTACCAAACGTGGCTGCCTCCAACTGGTCACGCTAGGTTGGGAGTACTAAACTGAGGCCATACCCACTATGGTTTTGTTACAACCAAAGCAGTTAGACCGAAATAGCCTTTCCCATATTTTTGCTAGAACAAGTAGTGTTACATCATGGACATCATGAATGAGGATAACTGAGCTTGCAAAGCGAAATGGAGCCAAAATAGATGGTTTTCAACTTGCATTTGGCTCTGTAGCAAACCATGACCCTCCTACGTCACATCCAAGGCGTGTTACGACTTTTTGAATCCATGCGAATGAATAATTCTAAATTTCTTGCTAGTCCACCGCCTACACACGTCGATGGTATCTGAGCTCACTGGTAATAAATAGCTTAGAATAAACACGCGCGGTGTTTACTGCCCATATTTCTGCACTCAAAGTAATCTTGTTGGCAGTGCCGGACTAGTCTACAAATGGACCACCAGAACCAAGCGAACGACTAAATGCATGTCTGAACAATCTTAGAAACACGCGCCTCAGAGTCACGTACGTAAGAATAATGTCAGGACTATTCGCACTCATCTGTCAATTGTTTTATCAACGAGATTTTACTGTTGATTGATCATATCATGGTTGATCTGCCTGCAGAGCTTGGCACTTGGTTTGCAAATGGTTTGTCGCCAGTCAAGCAGACTGGGGAAACCCAGTCTACTGTGCACTGACATTGTCTCCATGAATGGGAACGAAACCTCTGCAAACCAGTTGCCAAGTTGTGTGAACAGATTAACTACCGTCTGATCAAGCAACAGTAAACACAACTCAGTTATCTATATTTCGACAAACTGACACCAAGGTTTTGTTGCGTAAGTGAAATCAATATACACCGAAGAGCTGACAAGCGTGTGTAGGTTTTTCATTCTTACTGGAGATCAACAGCAGTACAAATCTTACGAATGTCCACAGTTATCTAAAATTGCAGCCTTCAAGAGGACTCCGTTTGACACTATCGGCTGATAAGCAGTGAGAGTAACTCGCCCTTCGGCAGGGTAAATCGCCACTCGTGCTTTAATCACGGAATTCACATCACGTGGTAACGCACTGACTGGCTGCTGAAATGACGATTTATAAGAAGGCAGGTTCACTCTTCAGGTGACCTATCCTTCCTTCTGGGTTATCTATATTTCGTTGATGGCATCAGAGCTGGGAGTATTTCAATCATTCTCACTTGGTTATGTGACTTGACTTCCGTGGTTGAAAGATGAATGATATTATGTTCTGTAGAAGCGCAGAATAGCCACACGTTTGGTAAGCTATTCGTGGCCGAGCGGTTAAGTGATCACACTACTACCCAGGAAGTCGCGAGTTTGGAACTCTGTTGAATCTCGTGAGATTCGCACTGCTGATTATCCCCAATGAGAATAAAACTGCTGCACAGCGGTTCCAGATCTCTCAGCATGGATCCACCCCACAGGACGAAATCTCAAAACTTAACTTCCGAGAGCGTCTCATAACGAAACGTATATTTGTCAGCTAAAAGAATTGGGAGGTGAGTGGCAAATGTTTATACCACATTTTGCTGGCAATCCTATCCTTAAGTTGATTACTTCGTCAAGCTGTCTATTAGTACGGAAGTTAAACTGGCAGGTACTACATATACTGTTCTGGCTAGTTTTATTGTTCCCTTTAGACTGATATCAACTCCTATGCATTGGGTAGTTATTTAGATCGGTTATTTACGGATGATTTCGCTGAAAATGAAGGGTCCGAATCAGCTGAGTATCTTAGTGTGTAACCGCTCTTTTTATGCATTGTTTTAACTGAGTAAACATCTTCGAGCAAACAGTTTCATATTCTCCAACGATCACATTGGAGTAAGTCGGGATGTAGCTGTTACACAAATACACCATCATGGTCGGAGGTGCTTCAGTGCATAAGCAGTCCAAAACCGATTATTCACCATGTAGTGTATGCTGTTCGCAAATAAATGCACCTGGACAGGGTGGACATGTGTATACATCAGAAGGTCAGGTGCACATTCATACCTGCATTCGCAGTTATATCGAACGCGGTAAGTGATTGTAACGAATATAGTTTTTTTCACGCCGCAACCCCCTTTGATGTAAAGTGTAAGGTGTCAGGTCGAGTACACATTTTATTCACGGGTGCAACAAATAGTTACAAATGGATTGGTTGTACCTTCAAGGGCACAACAAAACCAGGCCTCACCCTTCGTCAGTAAACAGGCTTTAATATGCATGAGCCGGGAGGATAAAGAAACGTTTTTGCGACGCGTAATATTTGGATAACCTTAAGTAAACAAAGCAGTTCACAGAAAGCGACAGGATATACTTAATGAGCCGTAGTTACTTTTTCACATGAACTACTTAGTTGCTGAAGTTACCGCTAATTGATGAGAGGTTGAGAAGTTCGACAAAAGTTGAAAGTACTTAGCACAGTGGTGGATAATTTACTGATCTGGGGAACGGAACTGGTTAGTCAAGCCCGATACGGCCAAAGATCCAGTTACTTTCCCCAAAACGCCTGTTCCGTTTGACAAGTAAAATTCACAGAGAGTGCCCATTGCAGTCCACAAGTGAACTCTATCTGATAAAAGTTAAAAACCGTAGACGCTGACTTCGGTGGTTTGTTCCCGTGCAGTAAACAGTTGACGGCTTGTTTTCGTGGACTCGGTTGTATGTGAAGCCAAGCGCGACCCTTCTTTCCTACAGTAGAAGGCGTATTTCTCAGCTTAAGAGAGTGTCTATTCCAAACGTCTTCGGTGTGGTATTAGCACTAGCTCACCGCGATCCATCGCGTTCGGAGCTAACGTAGCATCAGTTAATTTAACTTGTGAACCATTTTTCAAGTTCGGTGCGCTGCATCCCTTGTCTAGCCCTATAATAGTCCACTCGTATTCAGTGCATTAACTCACATCAGCTAAACCACTCATTTACATACTAATTAGCGTGCACCGGAGATTCAGTCTCCCTTACGTTCCAGACCAGTTTGAAGTTCAGTGATAGTCTCAGTTTTCATTTAGGCCAATATTCCGAATTTCCAGTCACCTATTATTTCAGTGGCGGCACTATAAATAGGGGCGGAGTTGAACGTTTTTTAAAAGCACTTTCGGAGTATTCTCATTAGGAAGCTGTCCAGTGACAGTTATAACTGATTGTTCTACCCTTGTTCTTTTTTCAAAGCGGCCTCCTGGAAATCTATAGATATTTCCAACTTTTGACTACTACAGATAATATGCTGTTAAATTGATTACAACCAATGACCAATCTCTACAACATCTTTCGCTCTTTAAAAAAGCATTCTAGAACGATTTGGCACTTGGAATTTAGCTACGGCCTTAAAAGATAAGTAGTTCGGAGAGGACATTTCCTATTTTTGGCAAAATGTTATACCCACCTCTTCAGGACTTGTATCCGGGGTAGGTTTTAGCCATGACAGAAAGGTTCATCGCAAAACTATTTTGGACAAATAGAGTATCCATATGTGCTGTGTCTATTAAGAGTTGATCCTCGCTTATTTAGTGGCCTCGTCCACCGAGAAGAACTGCGGAATCCATAAATTGGGAGAATAACAAAGTGAAATTACTGGAACGGCAAAAAAGGGGCCTTATCAAATTAAAGTGGTTACGATAGGAAATGCCCTTATCCAAATTCACCAGAGAGACAGTTTAAACAAGGTGGCAGAAGAACACTGGTGAGAGACGAATCTCGTTAGCCACAACACGCATAGGACAACAACAACACCAATGGCACCGCCTATGTGAAACGTAACAACTCAGTAAAAACCTGCCACACTCACAGTAAGGCTCTGGTGTTTCTGAGAAAAGAGTACGAGCTTGAGCCATCTAATCAGTATCTCTTCAAACAGTTTTAGTCTATGTGACTGACTGCTTCGTGCTCTGATCTCCACTAAATAGCAGATTTGAACTCTTATCTGAAGCATATATATGGTGGTCGATCGCCTAACTCTTGGCTTCTTGGAAGAGCATTGCACGGAGTCTTTGCTCGTGTCTCCGGCTGCGGTCATTTCCACCAAGTGTTGTATTACCGCAGCCGACATCTGAAGCTTGCTGGACAGTATTAGGTGACCGCTTGTGGTTAGTTAAAGGATACATATAATTGGTATTCATACCGCTGGTATTCGAACAGTCTCCGTCCTGTTTCATTACAGTTTATATGGCCAACCTATGCCAAAGGAATCCATCCAAGTTTTGCTCATTTACGATCTCACTATCAATGCATGTTCTTTACCAGGACACGAAATCTGAGCTAGTTGGAACAGTCACATCTTAATATGATGAGGACAGTTCGAAATGGAATGATGTGGACAGAAAACTTACTCACAGCTAACTTTCCTGTATGTTTGACCGTGAGCACCGTGTGTACCTAGTGAAGCGGACTGCACACACGAAGTAGTACGAGATAGAGGGGGGATGCTCAAACAGCTATATGAGTCATATGTGTTGTTCATAAGGAAACTCAAGGACCACAAAAGATTGGTTGGACCACTGAGATATATCAAACAACCAACCATCATGTTGCAAGTCCAGAAACCGTGGATCAGGCAGCAGCCTAACTCGATATATGGGTTAGTTTACGTTGGTATCTGTACATCCCGAATACCGTTCCACCTGTCCCCACACATCCTTCATTTGGGTGTTCCTATCACGTGTCTCCTCGAACTGGTTCTTTATTTAATTGGTTGGAAGTTGAGTTAAACGACGGTAGAAGTGACTGATGACTAGTAGCATTGTTCAATGTGACTGAACACACCAATAAGCGCGTTAGGGTATCGGCCTACAGGATACATCGTCCCATCACCAAAGCAATATGAGACGCATGAACCTCATGCATTCACCTGACTGAACTTCTGAAAGTAAAATCAAGTCCACTGTCAGGCACTTAGCCTGGAAACCAGCACTGAACACTCACTTAGTATTTATCTGCACATCTCATATCTAACATAGTTCATGCAGCCAGATCGCCGCGTCATTTCTGTTGTTCGCTACGACCAGGACTCACGCGCTGTTAGCTGGCTGATATTTTCTCAGTAAGTCTATTTATCTATTCCCCAATTTCCTATTCAATCCAGGACGCAGTAAAATCAGTTGCAGGAAAGTGGTCCCCTGCCTCCTTCACCCATGTAGCATTACAGCGAAGCTTGCAAATCAAGCAATAGCAGACATTTCTTTCATTATTTCCATAAATGTTCTGGTCCAATGTAAAAATGCAGTTTTGTAAATTTGTCACTTAGTGTCCAGATATGGACTTCGTTAGACGTAAGTCGAATGGGCTGCATTCCGTGGGATTTTTATCTCGGCGTTGTCTCGCTGGTTGTCATTCAAAAATCAGTGTTGGGTCCTTCTACTTCCACAAGTTGTCAGAGATAGATACAATCAGTTGTTCCATGTTTCCGACACTTTGGTGCACGACCTGATTTTTTCTCATTCCCGATGACGAGTGAATTGTGTTGGGTTAAGCTTGAAAAATATTTGAAGGAAGATTCGTTTTTGAAGGAAGATTCGTTCTGATTCGTTTTGAAGGAAGATTCGTTCAGCAAGCGGTAATAACAAGTTACAGTTTATCAGCGTCGGGTGATTTAAAATCGAGTTTTTCGTGTTTTCGCAAACAAGGTTCGGTATCACAGCTTATGGTCGAATAATCCTAATGCAACCCGACAATTTCCACCATTCATGAATGAGAAACAATAGAGTGTTGGGCTAATAGGTAATATTTATCAGTGGCAAAGAAACTAACTGGAAAATTTTTTATTGAAGAAGTACGGCTTGTGAATTTGTTGAAAACCATTCCACAACCAGCAATCCGTTTCGTCCTTATTGTGGTTCATCGGTTAAGCGCATTCCTCGGGCTTTCGTAATTCTGTTTCAATTGGAGAATATCAATTCGGCCAGGATTTGAGACTCCCGTCAAGGCCGAATTATTGGACATATAAGCGCGATTCGCGAAATTCGTACAACCTAGACTCCCGTAGAACGCAAGTTTGACGGTGGATCGAGGACTGCGTCTAACTGATGAACCCAAAGAAGAGCGAAACCATAAGTGGGGTAATAAACAAATTCAGCAACTTCATTCCTTCAAGAAAATATAGCGTGATATCTCGAACATCTTGAAACATGAGGAGAAATTTGTGTAGCACATTCAGTTGAAAAATATCTAAAACGAAAGATCCAGTTGAGATTCAGCTGTGCATAAATGAGCGCATTCGTAAAACGTATTATTGCGATACTTACACAGTCATGGTTACTTTAAGCAAAAATTTCTCTGATATACATGGAAGCTAGTGGTTGACAAAGCCACTGAGGGGCCCACAGAGCATCAGTTTCTCATCACAGGTGATTCAGTGAGCCTAAGGCAGCACTCACGCACCGCGAGGCTTGTTTCGTTGAGATGACCAAACGGAAGGGGCTTGCCTATCTACTTTGTTGTCCCGTGATTAGCATAGCAAATGACGCGGTTTGCACAGAGTTTCCAAGGTAGTCGCAAATTACTTTAGTTTGAGTGTAAATCATTTCACTTCTGAACCCGTTCACAACATCTAAACTAACTGTATAACGCTTTAAGTCAGACGTTTTGCTCTGATGTATGACAAAAGTCGGTGGTTGTCAGTTGTAGGTCATTTTTTAATCTCGCATAAACCAAATACGATCGGCCTTTATGTTTCAGATATTTTGGTGCGAAATTCGCTCCACAAAGAGCAAATATCTGATATTTTTTCTGTGTTGTGCTTGGTAGTATTACGCATGCTTTCTACTACCCTGTGTTCGGTTAAACAGAGAACTAGATGCGTTCATTTACGATGCAAATGTACTGGACTACTGGGCCTCAAAGGATGAGGGCTGCAAATTGCGCATTGTGGGAAATTTGTACGCAATGACCGGTTACGGGATCGGGTTTGCAAAAGGAAGTCGATGGTTAGAGAAGGTGAACTCACGGATATTGGACTATCAGAAAAACGGTGAGCAAACATTAACACGTTTTACGGAAGGGTTCGGTTTAACCTGATTTAGCCTCAGTGATGTGGTTTAAAACATTCTTGCAGACCTATATACATCCAGAATTCAGTCCCTTCCAGGAATAAAAGAGTTCAACAACTTCATTCACGTTCAGAGAACTCAACCAAACCATCACAAAGAAGCTGGGCAACCGCTTGCGTACCTCAGTAACCCGCTGAGCCGTACTGAAGTATGCTCATGCAGTATTCGTATTACCTCCCACAAGGTTAGTCTATGGATAGGGGTCAGTCAACACATGCTCCTGGCCTTCCAGGTTAGGGGTTGGAACAACTGTGTTAATCTGATCCTCGAAATGTTTGCCAACGGAGTAGTCTCAAGCCGATTACCGCTGCCTTGCGTTAGGCTGGGGACCATTTTATGAGTTCTGACAGTATCTCAGCCTACACATAACTATGAAATTATGGCTAATATGCACGTCAAAAGTATCCCAGTGCGCACCTCTACTGTGTCCAAGCCATTAGCGCACTTATCTGGGCAACCAGCCAGCTAGACTGAGCCCCTTCGTGGTTGGGTACATGTACGCACCGGCAAATAGCACGCGCCTCATTGCGCCGGCTACCGTGTAGGTGTGCGTCAGACAGGAGTGAAGTTCTCCCGCCGCAACGGTAAAGTGGTGCATCGGCGCCGCTGAGTCACACGGTTCATAGTGCAATGCATGTCGTCCGGCCTCGGGGATGTGACCACCTGAGCTGTAGCAAACAGACTGAGTTAAGCTAAGCGAACTGCAGCTTGTAGCTCGCAGCTCGGTGGGCCACACGCTCAGCGGTGAAATGACAGTGGGCAAATGCCCGCCACCGTAGCATTGGGAACGCGAACCATTCATACCGCAAGCGTTCCCAACAGTGAGTCAGGCAATGTTGACGACTACATCTACACGGTTTACTGTCGGTTCAGCTTCAGTGGGCCGCAAAGTACTTTAACAACCACTTTTGACACTTTGTGGACAGCATGATTAACATGTTATTTTTCAGTAGAAAATGTTAACATCCTTCGGGGAGATGTGCGACATTATTCAAGAAGCCCACTACTTTATTGTGGCTCGGCAAATGCCTGGTTTGTTTCATTGAGCAACATGAGGATCTTCGTGATGTCATTTGTTGGATGTGTGAGAGATATAGCGACAGTAAGGCTTTCATCATATAGCACTTTTTGTTTCCAGTCTATGCGTAGGATTTGCGATGCTATCAAATTCAGAACACGGCCGTTTACTGAGCACGGAACACCATGTAAATGCCGCAACAGCTGTCACGCCTAGGTGCAAACTACCAGGGATCATGGTGGTATCTATTGGGACTTAAATCGTGTCCCCTGCAGTGGAAATCAACATAGGTATTCCCAAGCATGAGGTGTGCGTTCAAAACGGGAACGCGTATTCAGACGCAAGAGCTCATGAGGCCAGTTGGTCAAGTGATACGGTTACTTGTGTGTCACCGTGTTAATCAAGCACAAGTTCAGCTTGGCCCAGTGGGTTTCATTCTTGCCAACACTGCCTCAACTCTTATTGATATTATTTTTTCCTATATATATGTATATGTCCGAGTCTGACTAAAGTATTTCGAGAAGGTACTCTAAAAATGAATTACCAAGTTCTGGCTGATCAACAGATCATCCTTGTTCAATATACTGGCTGTTTATCAGTCAGAGACCGTCTGAATTATAAGTATCCTGTAAAGCCCTGATAATCGTTGCCATTTGATATTACTAATCAGCTGCTCGTATATATGTTGAAGTTGAACTGACTGGATCAGCAGAATGGACTGCACAGGTAGAATCTAGCTGCTCACATTAACAGGGATTCGGAAAGGAGATCGGTGGGAACATATGTACTTGGGGCATTGGGCACCCGATACGCCAGTCTTCATACAGAAAATAGCGTCCGCACACTCACATGCTCGATGACCAAACAGAGTTGATGGACCGCGCTCAACGGCAAGTACGAACTACGCGGGTATGTGCATGCGTGAGATCAACCATGAGGAGACGCAATGTGTTGATTGGATATCAGCTAATGACTTTGGATTTTGAGGACGCATGAGATGAGGGACTTTCGAGGTGCGAGTATTTTTCCGGCACTTGTTGTTTTGGCACCCAGTGCAGAGTGCGCAATGCCAACGTCACAGATGAAGCTGTCTCTGTGCATGAATAAACCGTAAGCTAACAACAGTCGTTTCGGTCGCTGTTCTGCTTGCTTGCTCCGTTACCACATACCTTTTGAATGGAGCGGTCATCTCGAGGCATGCCTCTTTGACCAAGTTGTCGGCAGCGTTATGCTTATTCGATGAGGTCTAAAGCAACCCCCATCGTGTGGTCAGGCGCCCCGATCACGGCAGCCAAGTGGTCATTCAGATTCACCGGATGTTTTTCGGACATGTTATCTAACGATGGGGACATGCTGCAAATACCGAAATTCGACTGGCATGTAAACATTTTATCATTCGGCTTTTGGTTTATTCGGACATTTCTGTGACCTAAATGGTGCAGTTTCTAGTACGAAGTCCCCGATTAGCACTTACACTTCATGCACCCTAGGTACCACCACTTTGGATAGAGCACAGTATCATCACAAACGACCAAATGAGGTTTAAGCCTACAACGAAATGAACGTACTAGCCACCTGTGAACGGATTCATCAGTGAAGGGGAGTTTGAAAGCAAACATTCAGAAAGAACCAGAAGGACGAAGTGGTGGCAAACACAGCTTGGTTTCCGCCCTTGTTAGCAGGTTAAATACAGCACGAGTTTATAGGTGGAAAATTAGTAGTCACATGGAATCTGGAATCACTTGTAAGCATTCACGGAGGAAAGTTGGGTAGTGACGCTCCATTGTATCACTAAGTTTGGCTCAACACAAGTAGTCTATCATTTCAGTAGTCGGTAGTCTGCGGGGGAAAACATTTGTCAGCGCACCATCTATAGCGAATCGACACGTATCTGCTAGAATGTAAACTATCATTTTCCCTCTGATCAATGATGAACCATTTGAATAGGAAAGGCGAAGAGAAACGAATACATCGAGAGTGGGTTTAGGTAATCCAGGTTCACGCATTTTAGGAAAACGAAACCGCCATGGCAGTTTGATGGCTGTCTGTCTGTCTGCCTGTTTGTCTCAGGCCTCCCTGTCCATTGATAAAATCTTCGAAGAGCATTTCAACCGTCTGATGACACCTAAATTTTTCGCTTTGCGGAGCCTCGGATCGATTGTATTCCATGCTATTCTAGATGTCGACACAGCAATATTCTTATGCGTACACCCAATTTGAACTCACAACTATCCGAAGACATTCCATGTGATTTCTATGCTTCATCATGCAGGGTGCAACCGTTAAGCAGAACCTACTAAACAATTCCAATAAGGTACCCTAAGGTTATCTTTAACATCCACATGATGGGTTCAGATATGATCAGCTTTCTTCAGTCATATATTAAGCTTCAGTCAGTATCATATGGAAGTTGTTTATTCTCTGCTGTTCCTCCGAAAATCTCATTTCTTTTAGGCAAACTTCAGCGTTGGAAAAAATTTTGGCAAACAGGTTCGTGTCGCAAGGACTCTGCCTTGGGAAATACAAACAAAACACTTGGAGTGAAGAACTTCATCAGCGCATTTATCCTTCTTCTGTGTGGAATCCTTCTGTGCAGTTTGATTTTGGGATTTGAACACATAGTCTACCGCACGATAGGATCGCACGTACGTCGCAAAATTTGGAAGAATTGTTGCAGCGTGAAACCAATGGTGAGTGGTGAATCCGTCATAATGCCTTGTACTTCCATGCGATTAGGACATCACCCTCGATATACAAAGTGAAATTGTCTCTTCCACCCACAAATAAGTGAACTCTACCCTATGAAAGCACATTTAGCTCATCGTTAGATTGTGAGAACCTCAACTAGCTGGAGGTCCAAAATAACTGAACCCGATGATTTCTGACAAACCCATCGGTTTTATATCTGGTATCGAGCTGAAGTACGTCGTAAATACGCTATCAGCCAAACTTTTACAGGGTTGTACTCTAGTGATCCATATTTTGGGTGGTATTGGCTTCCGTTGACAATTCCCAAGTTCAGGGTCTACAACTGAGATTTAAACCATTGGATTTTTGCTACAAACCTACCAGCAATCTTTGTGGATTTCAGATCTGTGCGATACTTTTTGTCCGAAGACTCTAGCGCAGTACATATACCTTTCAAGCCCGTGGAAGAGGTCAGTGATATTCCGTTACCTTTAATTCTAGGATGTTTTTAGGAAGCATACAAATGCTCTTATTCGTGCATCATTTTAGTTTTACGTGAGAATCAGCAGAATATACTGCAAGAGGCCGACTCATACTTCATTCGGTGGAATATTCAAGATATCGCAATCTAGACAGAACGTACTACTCATAAAATTGCTAAGGTCTCCTCAGTGTCACAAACAAGAGATTCCGGTGATTCTGAAATCAAAACAAGATAAGCATGCAAATGATGGTATCTGGTCAATGCCGTTCAATTTGCGTTCAAGTAAAACATAAGCTTGATCGAAAGTGGGAGACAGTGCCCACCTGAAGATCTCAATAAGGGCGAACCTGGTCACGGGCTGTCGGGAAGCTTTCAGCAACTTTATGCGTCGTGTGTTGCATGTATACAGGATCTTCTCCTCGTCTTCTACAGTCTGTAAGTGTCAGATTGTCTACCGATTTCTCAGTGTCAAGGCCAGCAATCTATCGAATTATCAAATTCATGGCGAGCAAACTTTTTAAAATAACTGGTGATCTCGGTTAAGATTGGTTATGCATAAAATTTTCCACCAAACTTTGACGAAATGTCGATTCTATTTTTCCACCGAGTTATTCGATGACAACTAGAATTAACAGCACTAAAGTGAAGAGAATTTCAACGGTATCAAGTTTCCGACCAAAAATTGAGCAGAAATATGATGAGTACAACTCCGTCCGGTCAGCCGCAGTTATTTGTCTAGAATTCTGTGACAAAGACTTGTACACCAGTGCATTTGATTGTTACTCCGGCCCAAGTAGCCTTTGTTAAATTTGTCCAATTCTTAAATCAGCTGTCGCATGCTCTACATGCATTCATTAGCTACGACAAAAGCACCATTGCAGAGTTCGTAGTCGCTCCTCGTGACAGTACAAATGCCACGGTTTGATCGATTGTATACTCTGCGCGAAACCTGCGATAGGCGAACATGTGACCTTTATTCGACTTCGACTCCGGTAACGCCCCGTGTGGAGTCGAATATCCCAGAGGAATATGAATTCGCTGTTGTTAACCGTATGTAACGAAAAATGTGCTTCATAGTTAGTCACAATGGCAGAGTGACTTTACAGTTGTGAATAACACAATGTATACGTTTGCTTGGGATTCGTTAAGCTTTTCGGTATCTTAGTCAAACTGATGATGATTTTCAGCAGTCATAGGCATGGTATTATGTTGCACCGATAACCGGTCTTGACAGTTATGGCAATCTTGCACGTAATGAATGAATGCGGAAAATTTTATTACCTGAGTTACTCGTTGAATTTGCATGCGATTCGTATAAACTGTTACAGCAGTGACTATCAATATTATATACCTTGCGTACACCTCATGGTTAAGTGAAAGAGTTATTCACCTGCAGTTCCGGACCATGTAACGAAAATCTATTTGGGATTGAATGCGAGGACTTAAGGTCCGGACTGATCGGACGGACCTCGGAGACTACGCCGATCTGATGATATCCGAGAAAGGCGGAAGCTGTAGCGGGCTGTCGAAGAGTTTCAGTCAAACTTTTAAGGAAACCTAGAAATACTGTCCGACTACTTCAATAGCAAGCATTTTGCTGATTACAGATGTACGAGTCATTTAAGTGAATGAGACAGATTACACAAATGTAGCTTCCTAAAGTTTACTGATGATCAGCAAAACGTTGTTTTGAACACCGTCAAGACAATCGGTCTCAACAGGTCGCAAAGAAAAGCCGACTCAGGCAAGCAGACACGTATCAATCCCGCCCAAGAAAAAAGGAGCTTGTATTTTTTTTGTCTTTGACACTAATAATAAATGTGAGGTATTTGAAAAGTGCTCTTCGTGGAGTGGTTGCATTTGTCTTCATTCCTATTAGAAAGGATGAATGGAATCATGTGGTAAGCACATAGAAACGAAATCTCGTCCGTTGCACAACAGCTATCCGAACCATACGGATACAACAAATCGTTGTTCAGTACGGTGAACATACCCAGACAGAGGCTACTATTTAGGTTACTGAATAACTGTGTCTATAAAACGGACTATCATTGTTTCTGCAATTTGCCCACCGACTTAAAAGGTCATCATTCTGACCTTAAGAGCGGGCTTTTCCATTCTGCTGTCCGTTGTTTCATCTTCAACTGATTAGCTGGAAAGGACACAGTAGTCGGTGCGGCAAAATCGCCTTAGTTTTTGTAGTAATATTGATCTTGGTTAGAACTACTAGATTGAGTGTTATATGCAATCACTTATATGCAAACACTTGAAAACTACACCGTTTATGTCAACTCCGGTAGCTTTGGCTTAGAAGCGGGTTTCTGATCGCACATTTAAGAGGCATGGGGAAATGATCTTGATACAAAACGACTAACGAGATAAATCAAAAAGTGTTCGACAGCACAGTACCACTTTCTTTCTTGTTGATTAGACAGAAAGTCGCCGTTCCCATTTGCACTTTTTCCAAACTGAACAACCTATTGTTTCGTCGACGAGGCTGGATACTCACTTGCAACGTTTGATGGTAATGAACTAAGCATCAGTTGAACCTATAGTTTGTGATGAACATCCAAACGTCGTCATTTTATTGCATGTACCACGCACCTACCTAATGAACTGTAGTCAAAAAGGAGCAGAAACTGGTGTATTAACCAGTCAATGTCAGACAGACAACGAATAAGCAAGTCTGAAAACGGTAGCCTTTCTTATCTGTGGTTGATGATGAGCAGTATATAAAAGGAGTTCTTTCAAAACCAGAGCTTAAAAAGTAGTTCATCATATGTCTTCACTCTAGCTGACTGGTGTGCAAAGCCGTGGAATTCGAATCAGCCATGAATCTTTATCTGATCATCTATTAGCATATTGAGACAGTCTGTTTTATATTGACTTGCATGCTTTGAAGACGAAATAGATAATTTTGACGCAAACGTGTAGTTGGCCTTCGAAGTGTTCAGTCACAGAATGTCTCTTAGAACTGTGACTCATCAGGCTCGCGGTAATAGGCAGAACGCAATAGCAGACTGAGAAAGATAGAGTATGACGCCCAGGTTCTTCCTGAGGATCGGCGAGTATCGACCACCAATATTCCGCTGTCCAGATGGGTAGACTATGGCTCCACGGCGTTTGGTACTATGGTCAATATCTTGTAATCAGTCTAAATAAACTAATGATAGGGGTGGCTCATAAGACCCTGAACTCAGGCGAACGACAATCCACTTATTTTATGTCACTTCACTGGTTAGTCAAACGTTAAAATGATATTGGGAACAGTCGAACAGAGTTTTTCAACTTGTATCGAAATTACGAAGTGATCGGCAACATACGAGTTGCCTGATCACCTACAAGTATGAATGATGATGTGGAGAGTCAAATTTGAGGAGTCCCATCAAGTACGCACTGCTATTAGTTTGAGCTGCCCTTATATGTAGAAAGAACGGACTAATTTGATTTCGCCTTTGGTGCCAGGAATGGACAAACAGCTTGGGTTTCAAAAGCACTATCAGACATTGTCTCGTTAGTGGGGTATGTTAACGACCCTATTCCCCGTCGCCGTTCAGGAATTGCTGATCTTCCAAAGTAGAGTTGGAAATGCTTTCGCATGCCAAGTGTTAGTACGTGACCTGACAACGCCGGGCTATTTGGAGGTACGTATCTACTTGGTGGAACCGGGCACATTGGCTGGTATGTCAAGGCCATTTGAAGTCGTTTCGAAGCTTCACGTGAGAAAATTCCCTCGTGTTCACCGGGTCAGACGCCTCCAAAAAGTAAACAGTATACTCCAAAAAAGTCTGTCTTTAAAGGACCGATGAATCTTCAAATCCGTTTTGAACCCTAGGCTTCAATGGTATTTACAGTGGTCATGCACAAGCGACCCAAAAGACAACAAGCTGATTAGTGGACAAGGGGCCACAAGACTTGATAAATTTCTATTATAAATAGGAGGGATATGCTTTTAGTGTGGCTTGGAGATGCAAAGCACACCCTTGCTACAATATACGGCATAGGGTGATCGCTTTGAAAGTAACCTGAAACTGGATTTCTAGCTAGGATAATATACTACGGTATTCCAAAGCTGATTAATGATGTTGTTTGCCGGGTAAATAGTCCCAAGGACGAACCGGTCGTCGGCTATTAAAGAACCTCCAACAAACTTATGAACGGTGTGTTCCGTCCGTAAGCCAATCTCCTTTCTCTCCTGATGCTTCCTATTCTCTCAAGATGACAATGTTGAGTTCCTAATGGATGTGTATGGTACTTGCAAGCGCGACTGTATCAGATGAAACAGTTGTCTATTTCAAAAGAGGTCATATCCTTGGAGGCCCCGGTATTTCACTATACCTGCCCATTTATGGCAGAAAGACACACACGCTTAGTGTTGATGTAGAAAACTATCCAAAACTCATTCCCAGACCGATCTGATTGGGCTAGAAAAATAGTGTGGATGACATTACGAAATGAACAATCGTTCATTTCCAAAAGCATGCATATTGTAATACATCCGAAAGCACCCTCAACATA